TCAGACTTGTTAATTTTTGCCTCTTGAATGTCAAATGAAACCTCGTTGTGGTCTTGATCTGCATATCCCTAATTAGTTTGAACATTTTTGCTACATATGTTGGCTACGTGTTTCCTCTTCTGTAAAATGCCTGCTTTGTATCTTTTTCCCCATTTTCCTACTGGGTTATTGATTCATTGTTCATTATATATTCCTGAATCTAACTCTTTATTAGTTATCTTTGTTGCATAAACCCTTCTACCAGTTTGTAATCAGCCTTTTTGCTATTTTTAAGGTGGTTTTTGATGAACAGGTCTTAATACAGTCAATTTAGCCAATCTTTTCTTTTTTATGTTTAGGAACTCCGGCCACACTCCAGGGTCAAAAAAATATTCACCTGTATATTTTCTACTAAGCTTTTTGTTTTGACATTTAAGTCATTTTTCCACCTGGAATTGATCTTTGTGTATAATGTAAAGTAAAGATCCAATTTCAACTTCTTACCCCACTTGCTTTTACCTTCTGTCCTAATCAATCTGCAAAAAATAATTCTTATTTAAGTAACCAATGATTTCCAGCTTACTAATCCATCTTTTTACTCTTTACTTAACATTCCAGCAGTACTGATATTCAGAACTCCTTTCTTCAAGAAAATTTTCTTCCAGTGGCTTCTAGGACACAGCCCTCTCCTTGTTTCCTACCTACCATTCTGACTAGTTCTTCTCAGACTCTTTTGCAGGCTCATCTATCTCTAACCAGTCAGTAAAGGCCAGAGTTCCTCTAGGCTCCACCCTATGCTCACACTTAGAATAGTGCCTGGCATATAGTACTATACAAGTATTTGCGACTGCCATCATCTTCTCTAAACTCTCTAGTTGGTCAATCTCTTCCATTCCTTAATGCTCAAGACTTTAATTACCATTTATACAGAGATGACTTAGAGTGTATCTCTTCTTAGAGGTCCTAACTCATAGATATTTGATGTCTCCTCTTAGCTATCTCCAAGACACCTCAAACTCAACATCTTTAAAATCGAACTCATGATCTTTCCTCCCCTCCCTCCCCAAAACCTGCCCCTGTTCAGTGTTTTCTGTGAATGACACCACCACTCAACCAGGTTTGTAAATCAGAAACGCATCTTTCCTATATCCAATCCATCAGCAAGCAATGCTGATGTTCTAAATCCCACTTCTGGCTTCTTTTTCTCCATTTCTATTCCCATTACCCTAGACTCGACATCCTATTATCTCTCTCTCGGCCTACCTCAAGTGTAGGTCTTCCTGCGCTATTTTCCCTTTCAACCTTTTCTCCACAGTATAACCAGAATGATCTTTTCAAAATGCATCATGTATCCCTCCTACTTGAAATCCTTCAACGGCTCTTAGGATAAAGTGCAAAACCCTTAATACTGCCTACAAAGATCTGCATAGTCTAGGCCTGCTGCCTCATTCCATACCACGCTCCTCTTTACTCTGCATTCCAGGCATAATGATCTTTTAATTCCTGATTCACCGTGCGCCCTCTCACCAAAAGATTTTTACACGTTGTTCCCTCTGAATGGAAGGTTTTACTTTAACTTTAGTTCAACTATCTCCCTGCCTCAGAAAAGCCATTCCTGACCTTCCAGAATAGGTCAAATTCCCCAATAAGATGATTTAATACTAAGAAGAGCTTCTCATTCCTGCAGTGCTTACCTCAGTTGTGATTTTTACATTTGTGTGATTGTCTAAGATCTGCTTGTCCCCCACCCCAACCCAACCGCATTAGTCGGTGAGCTCCAGCAAACAAAGGTTCATTTCTTTGTGTTTTTCTCACCATTGTACCTCCCATGACTAGCAGTGTTTGGTACATAGTAGGAATGAATAAATATTTAATAAAGTAATAAACAATCTGAATCACTGAAAACTTTTGCTAAAAGCATCTCCACATTTTGCTCACCCTGCCCTACTCAAAACAAAATTGCTAGGGACAAGGCTCCTGACATGTGTTCAAAATTTAAAAAAAAAAATTCTCCAGATGATACCGATACCATCCCTATTCGGATTATTAGCCCAAGAATTCCAAATTAAATTGGTAGTAATTATTCCAACTAAGGCATATTGCCTAAAATACTTGATTGGCTTACCATTGCAAATTCAGTATAAATTGAAAGTAAGCATCAAAGTCAGAGATAAATGACCAAAAAGGGAGCTGAATTACAGAGATTTGATCAAAAAGGAATATTACAGGATATGTACTGAGTCAGAACAGATATATCTATATATCTCAATGACCCTCCTCAACTATAGCACAGTGTAATGACTAACGATCCTGAATCATTAAAAAATATATATTGATGTGTCACTGTATTTACTAAGTATGTCCAATGTACTCAGAGCTCAGCAGGCAAGGTGGGGGTATCAAAAGAAGTACAAGATATTTAGTAGGTACTCAATCAATATTTGTTAAGTTACTTAATTAGCTAAATGAATAAAAATACAATATGGTGTTTACCCTCAAGAGCTTACAATGTAGTTGAAAGATGAAATTAATATGAAAGAAACTTAAGAATTATTAAATACTTTTAGTATGCTTGTCAAGTTAGGGCAGTGGTATAATTTCTCAATTTACACATTTCCATTTTAAAAGCTTGGGAAAATGTTTCAGCAATGTAAGGCATAACTCTTGAACATGCAGAATAGTCTTCTCCCTTTATTCTAGATAACAGAAGCATATAAATTAAATGATCTTTTTTGCACAAATTACTGCCCCTAAAGTAATTTGTAACATATAATTCTATCTCTAGAAAGCACTTTAAAAACCCTCTTATAAATTGAATATGAATAAAAATGAAAAGGAACACAAATTTTAAAACCTTTTACGCAAAAATTTTAATACATTGGCTTTAATCATAAACCATTTTTTAACAAGTGATAAACACAGGCTAGTCAGCACTGGTGGTTTAGTGGTTAACATTCCACTCTCACCACCCCAGCCTGGGTTCCTTTCCTGCTCAGGGAACCACACCATCCTCCTGTCAGTTGTCATGCTGTGGCGGCTGCATATGGCTGTGACACTGAAAGCTATGCCATCGGTATTTCAAAACCAGCAGGGTCACCCACGGTGGACAGGTTTCAGCAGAGCTTCCAGACTAAGACAGACTAGGAAGAAGGACCTGGCCACCTACTTCTGAAAAACTAGGTCATGAAAACCCTATGCATAGCAGCAGGGCATTTTCTGATATAGAGCTGGACGGTAGGAGGATGGCGCAAAAAGATTGGGCAGGATACTGCTCTGCTGTGCACAAGGTCACCAGGAGTCGTAATCCACTCGATGGCACTAACAACAAAAACATAAACTGGATTATGGGCTTTCTAAGAGTCAGATAACAGCTACAGATGAGTCTTCTGGTTAAGAATTCATTGAAGTTCTCCAACAAAAAAACAAACAACCCAATCAAAAAATGGGCAGAGGAAATGAACAGATACTTCTCCAAAGAAGAGATACTGATGGCCAATAGGCACCTGAAAAGATGCTCAACATCACTAATCATCAGGGAAATGCAAATCAAAACCACACTAAGATATGATCTTACACCCGTCAGAATGGCTATAATCACCAAGACAAAAAACAACAAATGCTGGAGAGGCTGTGGAGAAAGGGGAACCCTAATTCACTGCTGGTAGGAATGCAAACTGGTGTAGCCTCTATGGAAAACAGTATGGAGATTCTTCAAGAAATTAAAAATAGAAATACCTTATGATCCAGCTATCCCACTACCAGGTATCTACCCAACGAACATGAAATCAACAATCCAAAGAGGCTTATGCACCCCCTCTATGTTCATCGCAGCATTATTCACTATAGCCAAGACATGCAAGCAACCCAAGTGTCCCTCGACTGATGACTGGATAAAGAAGATGTGGTCTACATATACCATGGAATACTACCCAGCCATTAAAAAAAGACAAAATCATCCCATTTGCAACAACATGGATGGACCTGGAGGGTACTATATTAAGCGAAATAAGCCAGGAAGAGAAAGACAAACAATGCATGATTTCACTCATATGTGGAAGATAAACCAACACACAGACAGATAGAACTGTTTGGTGGTTACCAGGGCTAGGGGGGTAGGGGGTGGGCACAAGGGGTAGAGGGATGCACTTACATGGTGACTGACAAACAATAATGTACAACAAAAATTTCACAATAAAAAAAATAAAAATAAAAAGAAGAGAAAAAAACAAAAAAGAATTCATGTTCTTGAACCTCTGAACATAAGCAGCAGCTGGCAAATGATTTCAGCAATAGGATGCAAGTATTAGATTACAAAATCTACCAAGTTGGTGGAAGTGATGGAGAATTCCCCTGGAGTGGAAGACTGATGGCTTATTTTACCTATTTGAAGATCTCATCCCATATTCCACCAGTTTGATATGAGCTGAGGGAGGGGGTGGAACAGTTAAAAGGTTATGTATTTCTTAAAGTGTAAATATATAAAATTAAAGGTTAAACTAATTTGTAATCTACATCTTAGTGTCATTAGTGCAGTGAAATACATTGCTTTCTTCCTAATCACCAGTCAAATCAGCCTCATTGATCATTTCAGAACATGAGGTGTCCAGAAAAGGGAACTCAAGCCTGAGTGGGATGTCATAAGGAAGATGTGCAGGTAGCCAAAGGCCTGCAGGTGAAGAAGCATTAGAAAAATGGACTACTGTGTCTGCATAAACTCTCCTATCTTACAGCACCAGCTACCACATTTGAAACCATCCTGAAGGCTGCATTTCCTATATCTTCCTGGAACTGTCAATGCTGAGAAATTCTGTATATTACCATGCTTGCATTTAATAAACAATTTGATTAATAATAATTTTACTCACATTTAACTGGCTTTCTCACATCCTAAATAGACTTCTCTAAGTAAAAAAGATTATTTCAAAGATAAATTTTAAATAATTTTTAAGGACTCTTGATTTAGAACATAGATTTGACTTTATTACTTTTTATTATTTTATTTTTTATTTCTATTTCTTTTATTACTTTGCATTTATTTAGTATATCCTATTCATACTTTTGCACTATCAATACAAAATTAAATCTGTTTACATAAAATAATGTTCAGCTCCAATAAAACCATAAAAAGATTACTTTTTTAAATGCATTAAACAGTTAAAACATTTTTTAAATAATAAAAATCAACATGAATCCAGTGATATATAAAATATCACACTATTCCCCACAAAAGAGTCCAATGCAAAATAGATGTGGCCTGATATTCTGCATTCAATTTGTGTTTTTATCTCTATTATTAGGCAAATATTTTCTTTTAAGACTAATGCTTTAACGGTTCCTTGTGAAGACATTTAATTCATTGTTATTGCATTATTTAAGTTATCATTTATGACTGTTCATAAGTAATTAAGTATTTACCTTTCTAAAATCTTAGGGTAAGAATCATTATTATATTCATTAATGCAAAATACTCTTGATTTTTAAAATATCATTATTTCTTATACTAATTTTTAAGTAGCTTGCTACACTGAGTGTTTTGTGGATTAATTAAAAAAACACTTCCACTTCCTAAATTGATAAGATCTATGCAGCTCATTACTGTACCAGATATTAATATTAAAACCTTAAGGGTTAATCCTCATCATCTTTGAGAATTTCTATAGAATAAGTGAACTATACCACCTTTATATTTGTAGATTATTTTCCCCAGCTGCTCAATCAGGAGTAATGCCACTCCAAGAAACCAGACTCTAAATTCATGCCTGTATCTAACTGGAACTAAAAAGAATACAATGTTTAACCTGAGCAGACTTGCTAAAGTATTGACAACTAACCAATGTCCTATAAATACTCTTATTTTGGCAATGGCCCACAAGGTTAACTACTACAGAATTCAGCCTGATACAACGAAATAACTCATGACAATTAGACTAAATAAGTTTTTCCACTTTTGAGACAAAAAATATATAAATTAAGATAATACCTGGGGCCGGTGCCGTGGCATAGAAGTTAAGTGTGCGCGCTCCGCCGCTGGTGGCCCAGGTTTGGATCCCGGGTGTGCACTGGTGCACCACTTGTCAGGCCATGCTGCGGCAGCATCCCATGTAAAGTGGAGGAAGATGGACACAGATGTTAGCCCAGGGCCAGTCTTCCTCAGCAAAAAGAGGAGGATTGGCATGGCTGTTAGCTCAGGGCTGATCTTCCTCACAAAAAAAAAAAAAAAAAAAGATAATACCTGTTTATATTACTTGCAAAATGTCTGTATACTAAAATTGCTACAGCCTGCAAGGTACACACCACTTAGAAAATACAATTGATCACATATCATTCTTTTTAGACATATTCATAGAAAGATGGAAATCAACACTCGTGGTATCAATAGGTTTGATTAGCAAATGTCACCCATGTAGGTATGACTGTCTAATCAATAGCCAAAGTGTGCCCTTGATTCTAATTACCACTATAACTGAATAATCTGTCAATTACATCGTGAGTTGTAATCCTCCATCCACTACTAGAACATGCCCCGTAATATACGGTGATTCTAAGAGAAACACAACCGCATGTGCCACATCAACAGGTTCTCCAAATCTCCCAAGAGGGATGCTTTTCTTTATGTGCTCTTCTTTCAGGTCTTTTGTCATATCTGTGTGAATAAATCCTAAAAGAGAAATGTTTGTTTACTTGGTTGAAAAAGATAGACCCTTTTCTCAAGACATTTGCTCAATTTCAAATAAAAATTAATTTGCTCCTGAAAACTTAATTTGACATTATTAATAAACCTTGTTTAGGAAATATAAAGTTTTGCTAGCAATCAAGTAACCAAGTCTACATTTTGATTCAATTTAACTCAATGCACATTCATTGAACACTAAAATATTTGATCCTCAAATATTTGGCCCAACTCCTAATGCAATGTAAGTTTGTGGATACAAACATGAGTAAAAATTCTATTCCTTGGGGAACCTATAATTTTTGGAGCAAATAGTCACTTATCCTCCTAATTATAATGTAAGGAAGTCTGGTGAATATCCTTATAGAGGTGTACACAAAGTACAACAGAATTGATTAATTTTCACTTGAGTAAGGGTAGAGGGGTGGAGGTAGGGTAGAGGAAAGGAAGGTATCACAAAGGTGGTCACATGAACTGATTTGGCAGTTCTGACAAAAATTAGTTCCATTTGCTATAGCTAAGACAGCTGATGATTAGAAAGACTAGTATGTCCAATATTCATATAAGAAAAAAATCTTATGGTCATACCCAATTCCAATGCAAGTATACACAGAAAATTCAAAATTTAACATAGTATTGGCATATGCCGTAAAGTTTGCAGAGAGCACGTTCTAAAGTATAAAGTCCTATAATATAAAGCACTATATAATATATTAAGCAACTAATTCTAAATCATTAATATTACAGATATATGCCAGAGCTGTAGATTTATTCAGAAAATTTTGACAGTCTAAGACATAAAAATACATACTACCAATAAAAAAACTTAACTTAGATAATCAGTGTTCCATATACTACTCAATCATTTAGGCTTTAAAAAGGAAAGCAAATAATTTCTCCTCATGAAATGAACAATCAGAAAAAAATTTTTTTTAATTTAAGGTCATGAAAAACACAGGGACGAAAAGTGAGACATAACATGTGAAGCAGAAGTTTGACATACAATCTTAAAAATACAGTTTTCATATTGGCTTGTATTAAAATTAAATCACTTATAACTCAAAGTATAAATCAACCTAAATACACTGCCATTTAAAAACCAGGATAAATGTGAACTAAACACTTGACTAAGAATTAGCATTATGCCACTGGTTTATTATGCAATACTATGTAATTATCTAATTTTTCTTTGCCTTAGGTTTTCACTTTTAAATATCTAAACATTTTCTTTAAAGTCTTGTGAGAAATAAGCCTAGATTCTTCTATCATGAAGACTATGATAGGGACAGCTTTATACGGAAAAACGGGAAACAAGCTGAATGTCTTTCAATAAGGAACTGGTGAAATAAATCATGGTACATTCACACAACAGAACAATATGCAGTTATTAAAATGATACTGTAGAAAGATATTTAAAATGAAAGAAAAAGAACATCTGTATATAAAAAAAAGTAGGTTAGAAATGAATTCAGTTAAACTACTACTAAAAACAAGAGAGGGGCCGGCCCAGTGGAGCAGTGGTTAAGTTCATGTGCTCCGCTTCAGTGGCCTGGGGTTCACAGGTTCGAATCCCAGGAGCAGACCTACACACCATTCATCAAGCCATGCTGTGGTGGCATCCCACATACAAAATAGAGGAAGATGGGCACAGACGTTAGCTCAGGGCCAATCTTCCTCAGCAAAAAAAAAAAAAAAAGAAAAGAAAAGAGGAAGATTGGCAACAGATGTTAGGTCAGGGCCAATCTTCCACACCAAAAAAAAAAAATTAAATTAAATTTAAAAAACTAATATATACTGACAGAAAAAATATATACCAAAATATTAACAGTGATTATTATTAGATACTAGAATTATAAGTGATGATTTTTATTTTCTTCTTTGTACTTGTCTATAGTTTCCAAACTGTCTGCAACAGATAATTTTTTATTCAGATAAAGTCATTGCAAAAATATGCACAGTACTAGCTTCAGAATGTCTGTAATGAGGGCCCAGAATAACAAAACAATTTTGTATTATTTGTGCGTCTCATTGTGAGATTACCTTGTAAAATACAATCTCCTCTGCCATGAAATCTTACATTTATTTAAAAAGTCAGCAATTGGGCCGGCCCCGTGGCTTAGCGGTTAAGTGCGCACGCTCTGCTGCTAGTGGCCCGGGTTCGGATCCCTGGCGTGCACCAACGCACCGCTTCTCCAGCCATGCTGAGGCCGTGTCCCACATACAGCAACTAGAAGGATGCGCAGCTGTGAGATACAACTATCTACTGGGGCTTTGGGGGAAAAAAATAAATAAATAAAATTATTAAAAATTCAGCAACATTTCCTTCATTCACTTTCACCTTTAAGAAGAATGAGATGGCCAGAAGGAATACAAGAATAAAAGGAGAAGCAGCTGACACAGATAACCATAAAACTGGATAACCAGCCTCTACAGAATTTCAAGTAATTGTAAATGAAAGTTCATTTACACCAAAGTCATAATAATCAATAGGCAATCCAATTATCTTAAGAAGCATTATCATGGGGCTCCTTGATTTCCAAAGTTGTATGTCTTTGGACATACTTATGTTCAAAGGTGCCTCAGAGAATGTTATTAGGAAGAAAATTCACCTCACGTGTTAAGAAAGTTGAATGAATTAAAATTATGAATGTAGGGGCCAGCCCGGTGGCGCAAGCGGTTAAGTGCGCACGCTCCACTGCAGTGGCCCAGGGTTCGCCAGTTCGGATCCCGGGCTCGCACCAACGCACTGCTTGGCAAGCCATGCTGTGGCGGCATCCCATATAAAGTGGAGGAAGATAGGCACGGATGTTAGCCCAGGGCCAGTCTTCCTCAGCAAAAAGAAGAGGAGGATTGGTAGATGTTAGCACAGCACTGATCTTCCTCACGCACGCACACAAAAACTATGAATGTAAAAAGTTCATGTTATCTTCTCAAAAGTTCACGATACAATTATCCTTTATTTTAAGGTCTTTTTGAATTCTAGCAAAATTGGCATAAAATATTTCCCCACTAACTCTCAAACTCTCAGTAGAAAATCAATGTGTTTTTTGGGCCAGCCCCGTGGCTTAG